TGTGTGTGTGTGTGTGTGTGTGTGTGTGTGTGTGTGTGTGTGTGACTCTTTGTGAGACAGAGTGTGTGTGTGTGACTCTTTGTGAGACTGTGTGTGTGTGTGTGTGACTCTTTGTGAGACTGTGTGTGAGTGTGTGTGACTGTGTGAGTGTGACTCTTTGTGAGACGGGGGTGTGTGTGTGTGTGTGACTCTTTGTGAGACACAGTGTGTGTGTGTGTGTGAGTGTGTGAGACGGTTTGGGTGTGTGACTGTGTGTGACAGTGTTTGTGTGAATGTGTGTGTGTGAGTGCATTTGTATTTGTGTGTGTGCGCATTTGTGTGTGTGCGCATTTGCATGTGTGTGTGTGACTCTGAGACAGTGTGTGTGTGTGTGTGTGTGAGTATTTGCATGTGTGTGTGAGACTGCGTGTGTGTGTGTGTGTGTGTGTGTGTGCGCACATTTGCATAAGTGTGTGTGTGTGTGCATGTGCATGAGCGTGTGTGGGGGGCGCGTGGTGCATGTGTGAGAGAGCAGGAGAGAAAGAAATGGGGATTTATTTGCATTTCCTGTAAAATATTTAACTTTGGTGATAACTCTGTGAATAGCAGGGGCTTCGATTTCCAGTGTATTACCCTAGTGCGCGTGTTGCCCTAGTGAGCGTGTTGCCCTAGAGAGTTGCGAGATTAAATTATGAGTAATTCCAATGAGAAGAGAAACAATATTGAAATTAAAAGTTTGCATTGGTAGAAATATCTCAGCAACTCAATTATTTTCAATGACTTAATCGAGCTAAATGCAAATAACTGCCAATAGTCATGTTTGGAACTTGAATTCATAACTTCAAACAATTTGATAAACTGCAAAAGTCTTTTGAAAATAGAGTTTATGTACATTCCTTAAGATGTAGATAAAATGTCAAAAGAAACATTAATCATGCTGATTGCCACCTCACCACACTGGTTTTACACTTCGCCCAATCTTATAATCCACTGCATTGCATCCAATCCTCTTAGTGAGGTTCTAATTTATAACAAAGCTTTGAATAATTTAGTAAAAGGCAAAGTCTGTTGGGAAATATGTTGTTATTAGAGCCATCGGTACCTATGACTTTAATCATTATACTCTCATTTTAGGGATTGTCCTGAACCTTGAAATGATGCAGAATAGAGACAGGATCAGAAGAATATAGACAAGTTAACAGCGTGTAAAGTTATACATTTTGAGGGAAAAAGAAAAAATGAAACAATCTGCCGTCTAATTGCAAGATTCTCAAAATTAAAGGATGAGAGTGTTTTCAGGGTCTAGGTCATGGCTTATAGTACACGGGGACAGTGCAAATTTGCTCTTGGAAGCCCCCAGAAAGTAAGAACAAGTCAATCATGGGGGTAACCATCAGAGCAAAGGAAAATTATGACTAGAGCAACAGAATTTAATTACAGCCAGTCACCTTCATCCACAACACCTGTCCCAACAGCCCTTTGTTTGCAATGTGGTGTAGGTTCAAATTAGAATCTCAGTAACAAGTTGAGGGCTATACGTTAATTCGCTCAATAATTTCCATCGATGACATGTATATAATATTAAAAGGTTTCAATAATCTTTAAACTGAAAAAATCCATAAACCCCTGATCATGGAAGTGTGTTATAGATTTTTTTCAAATGTTTCTGTGCATTTAGTTTGGATCAGTGATATCTTTGTTATTGACTGTGACAAGCTAAACTTTTCCTTTTTACTGCAGGGTTATTTTACACGAACTGTGTTTTACTATGGCTTTTATACAAATGCGAGCATTCAAGCAAATCCCACTGCCAAAATGTACAACATGCAAGTTGCTTACTTCCTCACAATTGGATGCTACATGCTGAGTTGCTTTCTATATCTGGTTTACAGGTAATTGGATATAATTCTTTCAGTTCTTAAACCATTTAGGATAATAAGACCATAAGACCTTAAGATACAGGAGCAGAATTAGGTCAGTTGGCCCGTCAAGTCTGCCAAGCCATTCCACCATGGCTGATATGTTTCTCAACCCCATTTTCCTCCCTTCTCCCTGTAACCCTTGATCCCCTTACTAATCAGGAACATAGATGGCACGGTGGCTCAGTGGTTAGCACTGCTGCCTCACAGCACCAGGGACCCAGGTTCAATTCCACCCTTGGGTGACTGTGAGGAGTTTGCACATTCTCACCGTGTCTGTGTAGATTCCCTCTCTGTGCTCCGGTTTCCTCCCACAGTCCAAAGATGTGCAGGTTAGGGTGGATTGGCTGTGCTAAATTGCCCATAGTGTTCAGGGATTAGGTGGGTTATCGGGGGATGGGTCTGGGTGGGATCCTCTGAGGGTCAGTGTGGACTTGTTGGGCTGAAGGAGCTGTTTCCACACTGTAGGGAATCTATGTCTATCTCTGCCTTAAATACATTTAATGACTTGGCCTCTACAACTTTCTGTGGCAATAATTTCCACGGATTCATGATCGTCTGGGTGAAGAAATTCCTTCTCATTTCAGTTCTGGAGGGTCTTTCTTTCACACTGAGGCTGTGTCCTCAGGTCCTAGTCTCTCTGACCAGTGGAAACATCTTCTGTGCATCCATTCTATCCAGGCATCTGAGTATTCTGTCAGCTTCAATAAGATACCCCCGTATCCTTCTAAACTCCATTGGGTACAGATCCAAAGTCCTCAACTGCTCCTCATTTGACAAGCCCTTTGTCCCTACAACCATTCTTGTAAACCTTTTCTGGACTCTTCAATGCCAGCACGGCCTTCCTTAGGTATGGGGCCCAAAACTGCTCACAATATTCCAAACGCGGTTTGACCAGAGCCTTATACAGCCTCAGCAGTACATCTCTGCTGTTATATTCTTGCCCTCATGAAATAAATGCTAACATTACACTTGCCTTCCTTACTCCAACTGAACCTGCATATTAACATTATGAGAGTTCTGGACTCCTACGCTCCTGTGTACTTCAGATTTCTGAAGCCTTTCCCCATTTATAAGATAGTCAATGCCAGTGTTCTTCCTACCAAAGTGCATAACCTCACATTTTCCCACATTATATTCCATTTGCCACTTCTTTGCCCACTCTCCTATGCTGACCAATGGGGTTTATTTACCTCCATTTACTTGCGTTAGCTATAGATGTTTCTATGAGTAGATATAACCATTCCAATATTAGCTAGCAGAGAAAATATACTCCAGCATCTTTCTTAACACACTGTGTTGGCAGATCAGAGTTAGCTGGGTGGTGATGGTGTCATGGTATAGTTGCTGGACTAATAATCCAGGAATTTAAGAAATGTTCCCAGAATCTGGGTTCAAATCCCACGATGGCAGATGGTGAAATTTAAATTCAATAAAATGTAGATCGTGGTGGCTTCAGTGACATCTTCTAACTGCATAACTGTGACTGAGCATGGCCACTTTGGAAAGCCAGTGCTGATCCAGGAGCAAAATGGCATATTGAAAATGGCACGGGCAGCAGAGACGCTGGTCTTTCAGCAGATATCCTCTGGGTGATAATGTTCTGGGAACAGCAGATGGTAAAATTGGATAGATTTGAACATGAGGGAGACCATGGGGTCAGTGTTGGTAGTTAATGAGGTAAGTTTAGTAAGATATGCTGACAGATCTCACTAGGCTTCGCTGTGCAAAATCCTTCTAAAAAACCGAAATTGCTGACATTTAGCCAAAACACATAAGATTCAGCTGTAAGTCAAAAAAGAGTATTCCTGTCGAGAGAAACAAAACTCAGGCAGGTTGTTGAACAAGATTCACTGTTCGAGTTTTACTTTTGATAGAAACCAATTTCACCTCAATGTTTGGCATGAAAATCCAATACCCGTTATTTAAAGGAAGTTAAGAATATACTTAAAGAACAGAAGGGATCTTCCCAATGTTAACCTCAAAAACAGGGAGCTTTATTTAGTCCTGGATTGAAGAATAGTTCACATAAAAGGAAACATTTTTGAACTTATGCACCGACCTCAAACTGATAAACTGCCATATTATCTCTTTCAGCTGCTGACTACATTCTACATATCTTTACACATTTTCTCTATTTGTTTCTGATTCCCACTTTTGCAGTTCTCATTAGGCCTGAGAAACTATTTGATGCTAATTCCAAGTTATTCTGCTCTTTAAAGATGTTCCATTCCAAATGGTCCATTAAAAAGTCCTGACATCCCTCAGCTTAGCAATTGTCAAAACAATTCATAAAAGAAGAAATAGAGAAAAAGCAGCCTTTATGAGGACAGTTAATAATAATTTAGTGGATTGTATGTTTAATTAATCATTTTTCTACTTTAGCATGGCAAAGTCGTTCAATGAAAACTTTATTGCAGTTGGCATCCTGAGTGGTGATGCAGCCAAGCTCCTGTGTTCCTGGGACTTCAACATAACAAATGAGAAAGCAGTAGAACTGAAAAAAAGAAACATTAGCAGGCAGTTAAAGGTATGTGACATGTAGCACCATATAATTTATAAATTCGGAACAGTTCATTTTATGCAACAATTACTTCTATGTCACGTTAAAAAATGTAATCTATTACAAATATCGTAAAAAATACATAATCCCATTTTTAAAATATCCATAGCTCAACCTGAAAAATTTATATAAGGTCTTCTAAAAATAGATAATGGACTCTTTTAAAGTCATTTCACTTTATTTCACTTTAGTTCTCTTTAGAACAACGAAGGATGAGAGGTGACTTGATAGAGGTGTACAAAATGATCAGAGGTATAGATAGACAGCCAGAGACTTTTTCCTAGGGTGGAGGTAGCTTTTATGACGGGACATAGTTTTAAAATGAAAGGAGGTAGATATCGGGGAGACGTCAGAGGTAGGTTCTTTACTCAGGGTGGTAGGGGCGTGGAATGCATTGCCGGAGAGGGTAGTGGAGTCGGCCTCATTAGGGGCATTTAAACGGCTATTAGATAGGCATATGGATGACAGTATAAGGTAGCGGTGGAGGTTAGTTAGACCTTAGGTTTAGAGTAAAAGTTTGGCACAACATTGTGGGCCGAAGAGCCTGTACTGTGCTGTACTGTTCTATGTTCTATGTTCTAATGCATTGCTTTGAACTTAATAGTTTGGAGGAGAGGCCTTGGAAGAGAGTAGCAGCAGCATAAACAAATAAAGAGCACACTCGGGAGAAAGCATGCTTCTTTTTCACTGTGTTCACTTAATGTTATTATGCTGGTCTGCTTTGAGGCTTTTCCCTTCCTGGCTGATGCTGTGTAAATAAAAAATCTGAACCAAGAAATCTTTTTAACTAAGAGCTTCCATCTTGCTGAGGAAGTTTCAAGCGAATCCCCATCCAACAACTTACTCTGAAACTTTGAGCTGAAACTTGGCAGCTGTAAGAAAATGGCCCACAACAGCGGAGAGATCCCATAAGATTCAAAAACAACTGTCAATATTTCGTCTGAGACAACCCCCTCCATTTTTAAGACGAAATATAGATTTACCCTAATTCCTGATGTTTGTAGGTCTTTTATAGAATTCCAGAATGTGAATCCACACCTGCACCAATGTGTCTTCAACGTGTCATGCCCTCTCTATTGAAATCCATCCATTAGTTTTGAGATATAATATTTTGGTGCATCTCCTGCCAACACATTTGAACAGGAAATTGCCATCATTGATGTCACCAGTGTGCGCCCACCCTGAACTGGAACTAAAACCAAAAGCTGCAAGCCCCATGTTGGTGCCTCTCCCCACTGACAGCTCCCTTCCCTGCTGGTCATTCTCCTCATTGTTGGCCACCTCACTGGATCTCCCGTTGGCTGTTCCACTGGCTACCCCGCTTAATGTCCAGCTCATCACTCCACTCAGAGACAGACTGATTTTTTAAAATTTTGATTTGATTTATTATTGTCATATGTACCTAGGTACAGTGAAAAGTTTTGTTTTGTGTGAAGTACAGGTAGATTATGCCATACAAAGTGCATAAGGGTCTGAGCACTCCACTGACTCAATAGTTTTGAAATGAATTTCTGGGGCACCAGGTTGCCACAAGAAATGAACTTAAAGTATGAAGCCATTACCCAAGTCTCATGTCTTCACCAATGGTGACAGCAAAGAGATAGTGACTACATGGGTTGTGATGGCATCCCCTTCACTGGCAATGGTTACAAAAACAGCCATATTGTTCATAGACAAACCAACAACACAGATGAAAACATTGCCTCAGTTAATTAAAGCATTATAAAATCACAGACACCCCAAATTCAGCTCACCTGTCATTTTGAACTGAGCCCCAAAGGCACTCCTGAATATGAGAAATCCTGATCAAGCACCTCATTTAGCCCTATTACATTAATTACCCAATGTCACGTCCCCCATAGAGACTGCTAACATTTGAAAAGATATTTGAATTTTTTGTGAAAGGATCACATAACATTGTTCACAAAGGGAGGTAGACAGAAAGCAGGAAACTACAGACAAGTTAGTTTAACATCTGTCTTTGGGAAATTGTTGGAACCCATTATAAAGGAAATAATAGCAGGATATTTGGAATGTCAAAGTGCAATCCATCAGCGTCAACTTGTGTTTGACTAACTTGCTGGAGTTCTTCAAAGATATAACAAGCCAAGTGGATAATGGGGCTCCTGTAAATGTTGTATATTGGGGAGGTGATGGCCTAGTGGTATTATCGCTGGACTGTTAATCCAGAGACCCAGATAATGTTCTGGAGACGCAGGTTCAAATCCGCAATGGCAGATGGTGGAATTTGAATTCAATAAAAATCTGAAATTAAGAGTCTAATGATGACCATGAATCTATTGTTGATTCTTGGCAAAAACCCATCTGGTTCACTAATGTCCTTTAGGGAAGGAAACTGCCATCCTTACCTGGTCTGGCCTACATGTGACTCCAGACCCACAGCAATGTGGCTGCCTCTAACTGCCCTCTGGGCAATTAGGGATGGGGCAATAAATGCTGCCTAGCCAGCGATGCCCTCATCCCATGAATGAATAAAATAAAACTTGAAGAATGAGGAAGGATGTAATTTTGTTGGAGGTAGTTCGGAGAAGGTTCACTAGATTAATTCCATAGATGAAAGGCTTGTTTTATGAGGAGAGATTGAGCAGTTTGGGCCTATATTCAGCACAATTTAGAAGGATGAGAGGAGATCTAATTGAGGTAACTAAGATACTAAAAGGAATTGACAAAATTGACACAGATCGGATATTTCCCCTAGTGGGCCAATCAAGAAAGAGAGGTCAGAGTTGTACCTAAGGCTAAGGTTTAAAACAGAGATGAGGAGGATTTATCTCTCTCAAAGGATCGGGAATCAATGGAATTCACTACCCAGAGTGGGATGGACATCGGAACACTAAATAAATTTGGTGAAGAGATAGATTTTTAATTGGTAATTGGTTGAAAGGTAATACGGAGCAAGCAGAATATAGAAGTTGAAGCTGAGATAAGATCAGCCATGATCGTATTAAATGGTAGAGCAGGCTCAAGTAGGATCATATGCCTGGTGTGCTCTGAATTCTTATGTTCTTATTACACATTTTAAATTTTCACTCAAACTGGGAAAGTAAAAATAATTTTGAGGAACCAATATTTATTAGGCAACTTAACTTGAAGCTACAGAAAAGACCTACATGTGACATCAGCATGACCAAAAGACTGTCACCATGGTTCTATTTCACTCTAAAGTGGACATTTTATTCTCCAGGAAGCATCCCAAGATTATTCTCTCCTTCCTTTTCCCTTTCCCCACCAGGAAACTTCAATGCCAGGACTGACTTTCAATATGAGCATTACGCTGGAGTTTTGTACCTCTACCAGAACTTGGTGAATTTTCTGGCCATATTTAATCCTCACAGACTAGGTCTCCAATGTGTGTACGAGCTTCCACTTCCTATGTTTCCGTCTTTCTTTCTCTTCCCCCAACTCCATTCCAACTTAGAATTAAATAGATAAAGTATAACTGTTCAGAGAACTGTTCAGAGAACTTTCACATTCTTAAGACCTCCCTTTGAGAAGTAGACTTTAACAGTCCACCCATCATCACACATACTCTCCCCATTGTCTACAGTGTTAATACCTTGCTGTCCTTCCCAAAGAGAGAGAAAAAGCCAAAGCCCATCTTTACAACCAAGCCACCCAAGCTTCTTGTCAGTCAGAATTCATGACAGGTCAGATAATACACTTCATCCCTTCACTTCAGCTTAAATTAAGGAGACATCCCAAAATACAATAGCTTGTATTTATAACACCTAAAAGCTGTTTTTGTTTCAGTAGTGCTGTACAAGGTGGGTAGGTACTTCTGCCAATGAAGAGTATTCCTAGAATGACTTCTCAATGGAAAAATTGTCTTCTATAATCCAATACAGAGAGGTCACAATCAAAATAAAGAAACATTTGAAGGAATGCAGCAAGAAGGAACAAAACAAAGTGCATTGTATTTTGATAAATTAAATTCCTAATCTTTTCCATGTAGGATCTCCCAAGAGAAAACAGTCATTTTCTTTCAGGGGAAATTAGTGTTGATTTGGCCAGTGATACCCACAGCCTGCGAGTTACAAAGAAAAATATACTACACCATATGTTCACTCCATAGTGAGGAAAGGTTGACATTGTGTTACAGCTGAACTGTTGTGAAGTGTCACTAGAAACTTTAACTTTGTTTCCTCTTCATCAATGTTCCAAGGCCTGCTGAGTTTGTCCAGTAGTTTCATATTCAAGATTTGTCAAAATAATAAAAGAGTAATCGATGATTCTGTCATTAGCTTGAATGAGGAGGACCAGAATCAAACCAAATGTTGCAGTTTATTTATCTAATCAAATAACTTCTCTTTGTTAAATGTTTACAGACAAATTCCAAGAAAATTAGTGCATCAAAATAGAGCAAATTAATCTATTTTTACGGAAAAATGATAGCATTTCAAAATTCAGGAAGACTATAAGGGATATTTGCAGTTAAAAGTCTGAATTGTTCATACTTACAGGAAATGTTATCAGAAAAAATGCACTACCATCGGCACCTATCAACAAAACAGAGAATACTGCGATATTTAATTCATCTGATGGCCTGGATTATTTCATTAGGAACAACATTTGGTTGCTGTTTTGGAATTCATTCCTTTTCGATCTCCAATTTTAAGGTATAATTTTATTGATTTTGCATTTTACTTTTTCACGTGTTGATGTACTGAATGCATGATGGTGCATTTGTGTATCACAGAATCACAGAATTGTTACAGTTCAGGTGGCCATTTGGTCCATCATTCAGCACCAGCTCACTGAGCATTTTAACTTTGTGCAATCTTGCCTTTTCCCTATGACCCTATACATTATTCCACTTTAAATAATTATCTGATGCCCTCTTGAATGCCTCAATTTGAATCTGCCTCCACTGCACTTCCGGCAGTACATTCCTTAAAGCAGTGAGTCCGAACTACAAATGTAGGAAAGGGCAGATCAAAATTGAGGAAAGTTGCTGGAAAATGAATAGTTTAATGAATATTCAATCAGAGAAATTGTCAATAAAAGATAGAAAACAAACCAATTAAATCACTCAAAACACAATAAAATTAATTTGCATTTTGTTAGTCATTTGAATTTCTAGGAAGGAGACATCAACAGATAGTAATATCAAGAGATATATAATTAAATCAATACTGACTGCTTACAATCTCAACCCCAAGTCAATTAACCCCAAAGAATCTGTGTCTGAGTGAGTGAGAAAGAGGCAAAGAGAGAGAAACAGAGGAGATGTGAGACTGATTGCACATTCACATTTTTTTTGGATTATCTATATTGCTTCCTTTGTGGTGTTAAAGTAAAATTCTATCAGTGTTGATATGTGCATTTGAAGAGGGAAAAAGTATTGTTTTGTGCAACCAGTTTTTGCATTGTACGCTACCGTTAAATTAAATTATGCAAGCGCAGTATTGAATGCAGAGCAAGGCCATGCACACATGCAGTGAAGAGAGAACACTGCAATCACTTTTTCAAATGGCTGTCTCTCTGATAAGATGCCGCGACACTGTTGGTAAAGAGATGGCAGCTGAGGGTGTCCCAGACTGATCATTGATGATGACAAAAACAACTTATTAGAGGAAAGATTTACTTATGATTGAATTTTCTATCTATTCATCAAAATCAATACATTTTTGAAACAAAGATGAGACATTTGTAGTTTTATAAATGCAGTTTTATCTAATAATACTTAGGCATTACACTTAAAAAAATGAGGCTTATAACCATGGCTGATGGTTGACGTCTCAAACACAAAGACAAATCTGAGCTCATTTTTTTGGATTGTTGAAAGTCTTGAGCATCCTAACTCTCCTTTACAATCTGTCATTTTATCCCAGTTACATGACAACCTTAACACTTGTGCACTGCGTATTAACTTGAAAGGATGTTTATGATAGTGTGTAATGCATCATTGAGTTGATGTGTTCCATCCTTGCAGGTACTGATCTGTGCTACAATGATTGACATTTGGCTGTAATTTAGCCTCCCTTAACCTGACTGCAGGAAGTGCAATCCCCAACATTCCAGATGCTGGTTTTTCTTTAATAGGCATTTATCATAATTCAAAAGAACAAAGAACAAAAGAGAAGTACAATGCAGGAACAGGCCCTTCGGCCCTCTAAGCCTGTGCTGATCATCGTGCCCTGGCTAAACTGAAAAACAAACCTCCTGCCCTTATTCAGTCCAGATCCCTCTGATCCCTCCCTATTCATTTAACTATCCAGATGCCTTTTAAATGTGCCAACGTGCCTGCTTCTACCACCTCCTCTGGTAGTGCATTCCAGGCTCCTACCGCTCTCTGCGTGAAAAACTTCCCTTGCACATCTCCCTTAAACTTTCCCCCTCTGACCTTGAACCTGTGCCCCCTTCTGATTGAAACTTCAACCCTGAGGAAAAAATCCTCTGACTATCCAGCCTATCTATTCCTCTAACTAATTTTGTAGATCTCTATCAGATCTCCTCTCAGCTGCTGCCTTTCTAGTGAACACAATCCTAGTCTTTTTAGAGATAGTAGGAACTGCAGATGCTGGAGAATCTGAGATAACAAGGTGTAGAGCTGGATGAACACAGCAGGCCAAGCCTTCTTCTGAAGAAGGGTCTAGGCCCGAAACGTCAGCTTTCCTGCTCCTCCGATGCTGCTTGGCCTGCTGTGTTCATCCAGCTCTACACCTTGTTACCCCTAGTCTTTTTAACCTTTCCTCAAAGCCAATGCCGTCAACGTCCTGGTGAGCCTTCTCTGCACTCTCTCCAAAGCTTCCACATCCTTTTGGTAGTGTGGTGACCAGAACTGCAGACAAGACTCCAATTGCGGTCTAACAAGGGTTTTATATAGCTGCAATATGGTTTGCCAATTCTTGTACTCCATGCCCCAGCCGATGAAGGCAAACATGCCATATGCCTTCTTATTTACCTTGACCACCTGTGTTGCCACTTTTAGAGAATGTGGACCTGCACACCCAGATCCATCAGTATGTTAATGTTCCTAAGGATTCTGCCATTTACAGTATAATTCACACCTAAATTTTGATCCTCCAAAATGCATCACCTTGCATTTGTCTGGATTAAACTCCATCTGCTGTTTCTGTGCCCAAGTCACCAATCTATCTATATCCTGTTGTATCCTTTCACAATTGTTGGCACTATCAGCAACTCCACCAATCTTCGTGTCAGCTGCAAACTTACTAATCAGACCACCCACATTTTCCTCCAGATCGTTTATATATACTACAAACAACAGAGGAGCCAAGACTGACCCCTGTGGAACACTAGTAGTTACCGGTCTCCATTCTGAAAAACATCCTTCTACCCTCTGTCTTCTATGACCAAGCCAGTTTTGTATCCATCTCACCAACCACCACCCCACCCCCCCCGAATCCCATTTGATTTTAGTTTTTGTACCAATCTGCCCTGTGGGACTTTATCAAATGCTTCACTAAACTCCATATGAACTACATGCACAGCCATTCCCTCATCAATTATCTTTGTAACCTCTTCAAAAAATTCAATCAGGTTGGTGAGACATGACCTTCCCTGTACAACACCATGCTGCCTGTCACTAATTAGTCCATTTTCTGCCAAATGTGCATATCTCTTGTCCCTCAGTATCTTCTCCAAGACCTTCCCCTCCACAAACATCTGGCTCCCTGGCCTATAATTTCCTGGATTATCCCTGCTTCCTTTCTTAAACAAGAGAAAAACATTGCCTAATCTCCAGTCCTCTGGAACCTCACCTGTGTTTAAAGAGGATGTGAAGAGATCTGCTAATGTCCCAGCCATTTTTTCCCTTGCCTCTTGCAATAACCTGGGATAGATCCCATCTGGCCCTAGGGACTTATCTACCTTAATGCAATTTAGGATACCCAAAGTGTTCACCTTCAAAATATTGACATCCTCTAGAGTATTCACATACTCATCCCTGACCTCAGCATCAGTCATGTCCTTCCCCTCAGTGAATACCAATACAAAGTACTTATTAAGAATCTCTTCCACTTCCTGTGGCTCCATGCATAACTTCCCTCCTTTTTCCTTGAGGGGGCCAACTTTTTCCCTTGCTACCTTCTTTCTTCTAATATACACATAAAAAGCCTTGGGATTCTCCTTGACACTGTTTGCTAAAGACATTTCATGGCCCTTTTAGCCTTCCTAATTCCGCGTTTAAGTTCCTTCCTAATTTCTCTATATCCTCAAGAGTTTTGTAAGTTTGTAGCTGCCCAGACCTGACGTCTGCTTCTTTTTTCCTTTTGACCAGCAAGTAGCTCAGTGGTTAGCACTGCTGTCTCACAGCACCAGGGACCTGGGTTCAATTCCACCTTCGAACAACTGTCTGTGTGGAGAATGTACATTCTCCCTGTGTCTGTGTGGGTTTCCTCCGGGTGCTCTGGTTTCCTCCCACAGTCCAAAGATGTGCAGGCTAGGTGGATTGGTCATGCTAAATTGACCGTAGCATTTAGGGATGTCTAGATTATCTGTGTTAGCCATGGGTAATGCAAGGTTACATGGAAAGGATAGGAGGATGGGTCTGGGTGGGATACTCTTCGGCGGGTCATTGTGGATTTGATGGGCTGAAGGGCCTGTTTCCACACTGTAGAGATTCTACAATTCTATGATACAATTTCCCTCATCATTCATGTTTCCTGAATCCTGCCATTCCTATCCTTCAGTTTTGTAGGGACATGCATGTCCTGCACTTTAGACAATTGGCCTTTAAAAGCCTCCCACATGCCAGAGGTAGATTTGCCCTCAAATAACTGCTCCCAATCCACATTCCCCAGTTCCTGTCTAATTTGGATGTAACTGGCTCTTGCCCAATTACGTACCCTCACCCGAGGGCCACTTGTGTCCTTTTCCTTGACTACTCAAATTATATGGAGTTATGGTCACTAAGCCTGAAATGCTCTCTTACTGAAACATCAATCACCCGTCCTGGCTCATTCCCTACGACCAAGTCTAATATGGCCTCCTCTCTGGTTGGATTGTCAACATACTGCCTCAAAAAGCCCTCCTGCACACAACTAACAAATTGCTTTCAATCCAAGCCCCTGGCTCTAAGGGATTCCCAGTCAATAATAGGAAAGTTGAAGCCACCCACCACAACTACCTGCTTTTTTCACACCTTTCCAGTATCTGACTACATATCTGCTCCTCTGTCTCCCGTGGGCTGTTGGGCGGTCTATAGAAAACTCCCAACATTGTGATTTCATCCTTCCTGTTCCTGAGCTCTATCCATAATGCCTCACTGCAAGATCCCTCCGATGTGTCATCCCTCAGCACAGTTGTGATATGATCCCTAATCAGCAATGCAACACTCCTCACCCCTTTTGTTTCCCTTTCTGTCCCAAGATTATGACCCTGTATCAGAACAAAGCAGACCACAGCAACACCAACAACTATCCAGGTATCGCCCAGCTGAGCATCATGCTGTCAGCGGACTGTGGATCCTGACTGAATGCATCTATCCTGAATCTGTCCCTCCCATTACAACTTGTTGGGATCAGTCTCAGTTGAAAGATTCGATGGTGACTACTATAGAGTTGGTAAAACATTATTCTGTGTTATCATCAAATAACAGCAGCTTGAGCTATGATTATAGCCACTGAGGCCTTGGAATAGAAGGGACAGTAGC